CCACCAGGGATGCTCGTCCAATCAAGGTTCCTGTTCATCGTCGGTCACCTAAGGAGATCAAAATTTTACGAGCAAACGTCAAGGAAATGCTGGAAAAGGGTGTTATTCGGAAGTCGCGGAGTCCTTGGGCATGTGAACCTCATCTTGTGACGAAGCCTGATGGGAGTATTCGTTTCTGCATCGACTATCGTCCGTTAAACGAAGTGACGATCCCAGATGTGTATCCTCTTCCTCACACTGCTGATCTCTTGGATCGTCTAGGGTGAAGTCGTTGGTTCACCAAGCTAGATCTTGCTTCTGGGTATTGGCAAGTACCAATGGCCGAAGAAGATATTCCTAAGACTGCTTTTCGTACACCATTTGGTTTGTACGAGTTCTTGGTGATGCCGTTTGGTTTGAACAATGCTCCAGTAACTTTCCAGCGGATGATGGACGAGGTTCTTTGCGATATGCCGGAGGTGACTGCTGACTTCATTGATGATGTCTTGATCCACTCGGAGGGGACGTGGGAGGAGCACGTTCGTGATATTTGTAAAGTGTTGGATCGGCTACGCGACGTTGGTTTAAAGCTGAAGCGGTCGAAGTGCGTGTTTGGGTCCAAGGACACAACTTATCTTGGGTACCGTATTTCTCGTGAGGGTTTGCAAGTTGATCCTGACAAACTCCCTACTCCGAAGTGTGTGAATGATGTGCAACGCTTTTTGGGTAAGGTGCAGTATCTTGGTCGTTTTGTGGATCATCTTTCTGATCGCACTACACCATTGCGAGCGTTGCTGAAGTCATCAACGTCATCTTTCATCTGGTCTTCGGATTGTGAGCGGGCGTTCGTGGATCTCAAAGAGCTATTGACAACTCCTCCGGTTTTGGCATATCCTGACTACACTCGACCTTTTATTTTGCGTGTGGATGCTTCTGACATTGGTCTTGGAGGTGTGTTGATGCAAGAGAGCTCGAGTGTGCCTGGTCAGCGCCATCCCATTGCATACATAAGCCGTACATTACAACCAGCGGAGATGAACTACTCCACGACGGAGAAAGAGTGTTTAGCAGCAGTCTGGGGTTTTGAGAAACTTCATGCATATCTACATGGTTCTCAGATGTTACTTGAAGGTGACCATGCTGCTGTTACTTCATTATTGAAGCGGAAGAACCTAGTTGGTCGTACGGCTCGATGGGCTTTGAAGCTTAAGATATATGATTTCGATGTTGTTCATCGCCCAAGGAGTTCTATGGCTGATGCTGATGCCCTTTCTCGAGCTCCTCTTCCTTCTTCACTCACTTCTCATCATTCTGACGAACCTGTTGTTCCAGCATCTGTGGATTTTCTAGATGAGGATTCTGTGCCGTCGGCGGTTGCTGTCCTTGACGTTCAGTGTCCACAGGGTGCAGAGCAAGATCTGCCTTCTCTTGAGGAGGTTCGCGAGGCTCAAAAGATTGAGCCGTGGATTCGAAGGCTTCGAGATGGGTTTGAGAATCCTGCATCACTTGCTGATGATTTGCCTTTCCGGCATTTACATTCTCAATATCGCCTGGAAGATGGCCTTCTTTATTTTGTGGGGACGGATCCTGATGATCATTTATGATTGGTGGTACCTTCGGTGTTTATTCCGCGGTTTCTCCATGCCTACCATGATTCTCCTGTTCTAGGTGGGCATATGGGACACCGTCGTGTCACCGAGAAGTTGCGCAGGTCTTTCTATTGGCCGGAGATGCGACATGATATTATCCGGTATGTGCGTAGCTGCGTTTGGTGCCAAGCTCGTAATACTCCCCCTTGTGCTGCGGAAGGACGGTTGGAGTCAATTGCAGTTTCCCGTCCGTTTGAGTTGGTGGCGTTTGATCTTATGGGACCTTTTCCACGATCGACTGCTGGCAATGAGTATGTTATTATTGCTTCTGACTACTTGACTCGTTGGGTGGAAGTTGGTGCTCTTGCTAGTGCCTCTGCAACTGCTATTGAATACTTCCTCCTCAATCGAGTGGTGTTCCAGCATTCTTGTCCAGAGCGGATTCTTTCGGATAATGGTCCTGCATTTATGGCTGAGGTATTTCATGTTTTGACATCTCGGTTGGGGATACGCCACACTTTTACGAGTGCTTATCATCCACAATCAGACGGTCTGGTGGAACGGCTCGTTCGGACATTCAAAGGGATGATTTCGAAGTATGTGAACTTTCAGCATTTGGATTGGGATGGTTATTTGCCATTTCTTCGGTATGCCTATGTCACAGGGGTGTAGAGTTCTGTTGGTGCTTCACCATATAAACTTCTATATGGTCATGATCCAATATTACCAACAGAGTTAGGTTTACCTTCGCGATGGCCACGAGCTCCTGATGCTAGGTCATGGGATCAGTATTTGACAAGCATTCTTCCACTTGTCCGAGCAGAGTCTGCCGAACACTTAGGCCGCGTACAAGTGGGACAACAACGGCGCTACAACTCCCATCATCGTCCACCTGCGGAGTACAAAGTGGATGATTTGGTGTTAGTCCGTTTTCCCCATCTTACGGTACGTGGTCTATCTAAGGGGCTCCTTGCGCAGTGGAAAGGACCCTATCGGATGTTGTGGCAAGTTGGACCGCAAGTTTATGAGGTTCGGCATGACGTTCAGCAGGCCGATCCTCCGGAGATTGTGCATGTGCAGCGGTTAAAACGCTTCATACAAAGGGATTAGGAGCAGTTAATACCGTCTACAGATCTGCCGATGCCTCCTCCTGACGTTCCTTCAGATCCCGGCCCATCTACAAGAGAACCCTGACGGCCTTCCATTATTCCGAGAGGAGGGGATGATGTGAGGGCCAAGTGTACGGTTACGATGCCGTATACTAATATTAGCGTAGTGGATTTTGGTAGCTGTCGGATTGGTTTCAATCCGGACCACTCGCTCCTGTATATAAGCTAGGGTTTTTGGGCTAATTGATATGCACATTTCTGTATTCCCTTTCCATATTCCATGCACTCACATAGGCATTTTCTATTTTCATTTATTGTTGTTTAAATGTATAATAAATATAATTTTCAATTATATTTTTAGTTTTTTAAAGCTATTGCTGGTATTTTATTAATTATCATGAGATTTAGTTAACTTTGTGATCTTGAATTTTTTTCTTGATTGAGGATTTCACATTTTATGATCTCTTCTAGCTATAAATAACATAACAAAGTGTTGAAGATGGTATTAAAGATATTATTTATGAAAAGAATCCATTTAGTGCATAATAATGTAGCTAACTTTATTAAATAATGTAATTCAAACTATTGAACAATATAACTAAAGCTATTAAATAATATAACAAAAAAGGTAAAATAAATTAAAACAGCATGTAGCTAAAATATTTAAAAATGAGTATGCAACTTGAATTTTAAAGTTAGTAGTTTGTTAGTCTCAGTATGAAAAAATAAAAAAATATACTCTAGTATTGATTAAACAATGTTGATATAAAAAATTTATAATATTAATAAATGAATAAATTGTAAAATAAAGAGTTATTACACATGTCAAATAAGAAGATATTTTTTGCCAAACTATAAGATGAACATATTGTCCATAATAGTGTATCATTTAAATACTTGTATTACTAATTAATAACCTTTGATAATAAATCTATTTTCAATGTAAACATTAAAATCCTTATGCACATTAATTACATTCAATCCAAAATATAAAAATATTTTTAAAAAAATTAGTATTTAATTTAATAATTTTAGGAAAAAGGCAAAGGTGGTATTAAAAATATTATCCATGAAAAGTAATCCATTTTAGTTAACTAAATTTATTGAATAATGTAATTAAAATTATTGAATAAGTTATTAAAAAATATAACTAAAGAGGCAAAAACATTAAAATTTGAAGGTTAATAATCGTTTTGAGGCTAGTAATATTTGGTCAAAATGAAAAAGATCCACTATTAGGTAATTATTATTGATATAAAGAGTTTGTACATTAAAAACTGAAAAAGTTCTAAGACAGAGAAGTTCATTCTTGCCAAATCATAAAGAGAAGTTCATTCTTGCCAAATCATAAAAAGAACTTTCAATAGGTAATAATGTGTCTTCTAAATAATGTGTCTTTCTGTTATTGATTAGGAACCTTGACAATAAAACTATTTTCAAACTTAATTATTAAAACCCTTGAGCATGTCAGTCACATCTAATACAAAATGTAGAAAAATCTGAAAAGCCTCATCCAAATCTTTTGAAAGAAATTATACCATGCATGGTAGTATTTGGCTTGAGTTGAGATAGCTCACGAATTTGGGTGGTATGAGTGCTTTCCTTTGAGCTATATGATCATCCATAAAGCTCCTTGGCTCCCTTCCTCCACTTCATTTGAGCCTGGTGCGGTGAGGAGGTATTTGACATGCATCGAAAAAGAGAAGGCACGTGCATGGTTCTCCCTTGTGACGACAAGTACTCAATCACAACAAATGAATGATCGGATCGATCATCCCAACTTCATAGCAATCCAATACCCTTCTTGAGACCTGACTGCGGCTCTCTCCCCTGCAAAGATTCCCGCTGTGGCAACTGGATCCCACCGCTTGTTTTGCCTTGGAGCTCCCATGCATCTCTTCCGCCTTGACAAGCTTGACGAAAGAACTTGCCTTCTCCATTAAAGGCACGAGGTTGAGTAGAGGCGCGTACTTGGAGATGCCGAGCGTGCTTGTGGCCGCACAATACGATCTTCGCCCAAGAAACCTTCTTCCGGACCGCTGTCCATCCGCGATCCACATCGCAGTTATGGCCGATCTTGTCGACGGCCGCATCGCCACAGTGCGACCCACAGCGCAAGGCCCCACCGGTCTCTGCCTCGTTGCAGCTATGCTTTGAGGAATGTTCCCCTCATGCACTGGACTTCTGCGAGCGAGACTTGGGAGGAAATGGATCGATATGTATCGCTCTGCGGAGAGAAAGATCTCCGGCCTTTGAGTCATGGCGTTGCCATCGTACTCCACGGATCAAACGCCTCCTCGAGGGAATTCGGCCGAGGCAGCTATGCGGTCGTCTTGCTCAACTCGCATTCTATTCCACTCGAGTAGTGCTCAGAGTGGAAAGATCTTTGGTTGTCACTAACCTACAGTCAAGGCCAGTCAAACACATGTCACGACAAAAAGATTCTTTGCCTTCGCCCCAGCGTCTGTACTCGATACCTGTAGCACAAATAGTGATTCCGGATTCGTCTACATCAAAACCCTAGGAGACTTACCTTTGAGTCTCTCCGCCGAGTCTGCCGTGAGATAGACCAGATCCTGCGTACTAGTCGCGAAAACTTCCATGTAGGTGTGTAGATTCCAGTTTTGATAGCCGGGTACCTTCTCGATACATGATCTGGAAGAAAGAAAAGATGCTTAGACGAAGAAAAGAGATGAGAGAACCTACTTGTTGGCCGGTCATCTGGTCGCTTAACTGGTAATCGATCACCAGGTTCTGGCCAGCCTCGACAGCCTTGTTGAGTTTTTGTTTTCATCGGCACGGGCGCGGCTGGCTTCCTTGCTCCTATGAATTGCAGCTTCCGCGGTTCCTGCGATTTTTTCTCCTTGTGCTCCTTCTTCCTCTCCCCTCTTCTGTGCATTCTTGGACAGAGGCTTTCCATTTGGAACTTCAGATCTCCTTTTTCTCCACATTGTTTCACCCCTTCTTCGTTTTGATCGTTTGCTTCATTTGCGAAGCGCAGCGTGGCAGCACGCCAGATGAGCTCCTCAGCTTGGCGACGGCCTAGATCGCAAAATCAAAATCTCGACGACCGGCAATGCGCTACTGAATCGATCTGCCCGCACCCGCCCTGCTCAAGGAGCACGACAATCCCACAAGCCCTAGCCTGGTTCAAAATTTAGGGTTCTTTGTCTTAGGTATCTTGGCGGTAAGATGCCGGCATTCGCGGAGGCGCCGGCGCCGCCTCCTCCTCCTCCTGGCCGCTCGGACACAAGCAGCGATGACAAATTCTGTGGCCAGGTCTCCAATGCCGTTTCTTCATTCGTGGATTCATTCGTAGATTTCATAGTTGGAGGGCAAATTCTCAGCAAGCACGCTCAATCGAGCGCAAATTCTTTCCATCCAGCGGCTGGAGCGGGAGGCGAGGCTAGGAATCACGGCGGCGACAGCGGCATGGGCATCGTCACGAGAATCCCAGCAGTGGAGAGGTTAGTCGCAATAGGGGACATTCACGGCGACTTGGCCAAAACCCGGGAATCGCTTCGCATCGCCGGCGTCGTGGACGAGGATGATCGATGGATCGGGGGAAAAACAGTGGTGGTCCAGGTAGGGGACGTGCTGGATCGAGGCGGCCAGGAGCTCAAGGTGCTCTACTTGCTGGAGAGACTAAAAGGAGAGGCCCAGCGGCACGGCGGCGATCTCCACATCATGAATGGCAACCACGAGGTGATGAACATCGAGGGGGACTTTCGCTACGCCACCAAAGAGGCACTGGACGAGTTCTCGGCATGGGCTCAGTGGTATAGGCGTGGCCAGGCTCTCAAGGAACGCTGCCATGGATTGGGACGTCAACCCGACGCGTTTAGAAACGTGAGGAAGAGCATCCCCGATGGAGTCCGTGCTAGATATGCTGCTCTACGACCGGGTGGCCCGATCTCTTCGCGTTTCTTGGCTCACCACCCGACTATACTCATCGTTGGAAGCACCGTTTTTGCTCACGGAGGAATTCTACCATCCCACCTCGACTACGGACTGGAGAAGATAAATGCCGAGGTGAGGGATTGGATTCAAGGACGGAAAGGCCGGCAAGCTCCAGGCTACTTACGAGGGAAGGACGCTGTGGTGTGGGCTAGACAGTACTCCATTCCAGTGGAGAGTTTGTGTGACTGCAAGCTCCTAGACGAGGTTCTCACGGGGATATCAGGGGCGAGTAGAATGGTAGTCGGGCATACGATCCAGGCTCCTTTCGGGATCAACTCGGCTTGTCAGAACCAGGTGTTTCGAGTTGACGTGGGAATGTCGAGTGGCTGCGCCAACACTGCTCCTGAAGTTTTGGAAATCCGACACGACACTGTTGTCCGGGTTCTCTCGAAAGAGAAGGAGAAGGCGCCCCCGCAAGCACCACCTGGTTTAGCTTCGATTTTAGATCGAGGTAAGTCGTAAGTTTGAATATCTTTGTATTCTATGATGAATTTTTTTCTTACCGACAGGCAAATCTCCGATATTGCTTCAGTCAAATCTAAAATTTTAAGTTCCAGTTTTCCGAGATTCTGAGGTGGGAAGCACTTCTATCAATGCGTTCGGATCCTCGCCACTTTGAAGTGCGACCTTTCCAGCTCTCATGATTCCTTCCACGGCGCGATCCACATAGTCCGACGCGTATTTGACTGTCATCGACGCACCAAGATTTGGATAGCCACTTTTTCCGTAGTCACCATTAAGCTGCGATGCGAGTCCCACCATTTCCACTTGGAACTCCGTTAGCCGCCCTTCTTCGTTTGGAGGAGAATGCCGGAGTGACCAGGGTGAACTCGGCAGCGTCACTGGAGATTACAGGATCGATCAGACAGAGGTCGGACAAGAAGGAACTCAAAACTTTACCAGGACAGTCCGTTCGAGGTGTGGTCCGCGTGGAAGACAAGACAGTCTCAAAGGTCCCCGCCCAAGCGTCTCTCTTCGTCAGGAAAGGTTGCGTGAGATTGAAAATCTTCTTCACAGTGGCCGGAATAGAAGAATGCTCGTACTGGGAATCCTTGGTCGGTCCGTTTGGCCGGTGTATTACTGCAAGGCCAAGCACGCGACACGGCTTAGTAAGCTAATGGGCGGCAATCAAGAAGTTCAGTTCGCAAGCAGATCTGCCAAACCAGCTACCCAGATCAGTGGCACGGGAAATGCCACGAATAAAGGCAGGGTAGCGTGACAGTCACAGCAGGAACGCCGCATAAGTCACGGAGTAAAGACAAAGGGAAAAGAAAAAAAGAAGCTCTGGAGGTACGAGTAGTAATGGTGGACGGTGACCGCGGGTCCCCAGAACAAGGACAGGAAACAGGAAGAACTCACCTGTTCCTTTGTCGATCCATGGAGAGACGAAAATCGCTGGGACGCGGACACCGAGCCTGTCGAAGTTGAAGTGATCGTCGTCTCCACCCCTGAGACCGTCTGGATTGGGAACGTTGTCCATTGGCGTGGAAACGTGGTCGAAGAAGCCACCGTGCTCGTCGTAAGTTATCACCAGCAGCGTCTCGTTCCACTGGGGGCTGGAGCGCAGGGTCTCGTACACCTCCTTGATGAACTTCTGGCCCTCGGCAACGTCGTGCGAGGGGTGGTCGTCGTTGGCGGGCGTCGCCTTGGTGTCGTAGTAGCGCTGCTCGACGACGACGTAGTTTGGGAGCTTGCCTTGCTTGGCATGCGTCTTGAAGAGGCCGTAGTTGTGGAACTTCCCGAGATACTTGGGGCTCCTCAGGTTCCTAAAAGGAGATGGAAGTCAGGACAAACGAGCAGAGGAATAGCAGCCACAACGAGGACGTGCCTGTAGAACAACGTGGCCGGGATGTTCTGGTAGTAAATCCCGAAAGACAGCTTGTCTTGGTCGATCGACTCAAAGATCGTTTTTTGCGGGAATCCTTTGACGAGGTCGGACCTGACGTTGCTCACAGCACCGTGGGACGTAGCGGAGTGGATGTAGAGCCGGTTTGGCTGGGTGGAAGCTGGAACCGACGCAAACCACTTATCACATATAGCAAACTCCATAGCCAAGGCGGTGTAGGCGGGGACGAGCTCGGGCCGGAAGGAGCTCATCACTCTCTGCGACAAGTTCTTCTGGATGATCTCCGCTTGCTGGGCGAAGCCATTCATGGGTGCTGGATTCTGCGAAGTACTTCCGAAGCCGAACACCTGGTCTCGGATGGCTCCGAACGAGTGGCCGGGGTCGGGGTCCACGAACTCGGCCTTGTCCGAGACAAACACCGTCCCCGAGCTTGGGTCGGTTAAGTTCATCGGGTTGCTCTCCTTCCCTGTCAACCCGTCGATCTCCGGGTTGAGCTTCTTGAGCCAGCCGAGCATATGATCGAAGGACCTGTTCTCCTGGACGAGCACGACTATCGTCTTGATCCGGCCGCTCGGCTGCGCTGCATTGGTGCCGGGGCTCAAGAGGAGCAGGAAAAGAGGTACTAGACACCACTTCATTGTTGCTGATTGATTCACTCTTCCTTGCTTCCAGGGGACAAGATTAAATAGCGCGCGCTGGATTCTTTGCTTGGCCACTTCAAGAATACCAGCGCAACAAAGGAATGAGTAGCGCTCACTCCAGTCGATGCAAATCTTATAAGCAAGTATGGTGAGTGTGCACGCTCATGACTTTGCCTTGCACGCATCCAGCCCAAACTCATGAGGGTCCTCCATCCCCAAGCGCTCGTAAGCAGGCCCGAGCGAATGAAAAGAACAGAAGGTGTGAAAGGAACCCCCAGAAAGCGAGCAAGAACCTTTTCTCTCAAACAGCGGAGAGGAAGATAGACGATGATGCGAATATGCCGCGTCCATTTGTCTGGATTGGTTAATTGATGCCAGTAACTGTTTGGCAATTACTTTCTCCAGCTTACACGTCAAAAGCTACGCGCCCACTGAGAGTGAAATAAGTCGTAGAGATTTGACCGAATGAGAACCTTAGAACTATATAGGAGTGAAACTGGGAAACTTTTCAACACTTAGTTTATTGATTATCATCTGCCATGAACAAGGAAAAGAAAACATGTAGAAACTTTAGAGAGATCTAGCGAGAGGGGCCAGCCAGTAGCAAAGATCGTTAGAAAGAAACCACACAGAGCTACTTTGTGCTGTTTCCGGCGATTAAACATCAATTCTTTCTTTCGTCCTCTCATTTTACACTCTTGTACAGCCAAAAATGTTACTCAGTTGTTTCTACAAACCGACCCAGCCCACCTGTGTTACGGATTTCTCCTCTCCGGCCTCTCCCCGATCCCAATAAGAAACTCCCCGGCCTGGACACTCAAACCACGTAAGTTCTCCAATCATCCTAGAAAATCATCCTAGAAATATAACTAGAACAACGAAAAGTGAGAGAAAGTAAGAGCTCGAGTACCTTTCGATTGTCAAAGGCCGGAGGAAGCAGCAGCCGCGGCAGCTGCTGCAGCATTCTCCGTCCTACACTTGGCGTGAACGATCGGTCCCAAAAGCGTCCTATCCATCCCCTCGGTCGAAGTTCCCGGAGGAACGTTCATATACACTGCTCCCCTGTACATCCACTCGTCCGTCTCGTCGCTGTAGAAGTCCTCGAATGGCTCCCCGCACAGAGCACACGAGCTCTGGTTCTCGTCTGCCGGGACTGCGAAGTTTTGGTCCTCCTCCACCTTGCGAACCTCCGCCTCCTCGGCGAACAACGGCGGCGTGCTAGCTTCACACTCGGTAGCACTGACGCCGCCAATCCACTCCTTGAGTCCCACAAACCACCTTCTCGAGGACTTCTTCTGCGACTTTTGCCTCCTGTTCCGAGTTACATGCCAGTCCATATGCCTGCTGTGCTCGTCCTGTCCCTTAAATCTAAGCCCGCACGTCTTGCATTGCCTCGGGAAGTCCGAGTAGAGCAAGTTGATCACGATGTCATGCCGCTCCCTGAGAATTTCCTGGCGGAACTCCACTCCCAGTCCTGTAACATCTGTGTTGTTTGCCGATATTAGGCCTTGTGTGATGAGCGATGACAAGAGATTCCCGAGTCCTCCAACAGGTCCAGGTCCAGAACCGGATGGCCCAAGCGGTGGTGCAGGAGCCGGAAACATTGGTAGTGGAGGAGGAAATTGAAGTGGAGGTGGAGGTGGCGGCGGCGGTAGTAGAGCCTCAGGCTGAAGTTGGGACTCTGGCTCAGGAGGAATAAAACCGGTCTTGAACAGTGCGGACAACAGGCTAGAAGTATTAGAAACTGGTAAGGGTTCCGAGGCGGGCATGCCAAACGGATGAAGGGGAGGCCCCGCTGGAGGCAGCAGCGAGTGGGGCATCATGGGAGGATGTTGGAACTGATTATTAGGTGGTCGAAGAGCTGAAAACTGTGGTGGGAGTGGAGGATTCTGCTGCAGCTGAGCCAAAGGTGGCGGTGGTGGTGGTGGTGGCGGTGCTGGATCAAGGACGTCCTGCAAATTCTAGTTAGTTGCACGAATAGAAAAAGGGAAAACAGTAAAGTTAAGGAAAAACATCCAACAGCGAACCTTAGCCTTGAAGTGTCGTCCGTCAACCTCCCTCCGTGGTGACTGCACGTGTCTTTCGGTTCCTGGTGTATCGGAAAAACCCGTATCGGCCAGCGAGCGCTTGTTTTTGTTCTGTCCACGGCCTGTTAAACGCGAGGAAACAGCAGCCTTCCGGACTTCGTCGTTTGAGCCTCCATCCCCTCTGTCAGAGGTCTTCCACAAACCTGTTGTTGTCTTGGAAGTCGCGTGTGAAGGCAAGGAGCCGCCCTTGCTATTCTTCTCGGGCCACCGCTTCTGGAATCCAGTGTCGCCATTTCTTGGAACCTCCTGCACAAGAAGATTAGATAGAACAACAGATAAAAGTCACTACAATACCTTGTTAGATTGTTGGAGCTGTTTTTGAGCTTCGAGGATGTACTTGGGATTTACATGAATCCCATGCCCAGTACGAGGAGGTACCGATTCTACAGATCTTAAAGAAGGTCCATTTATTGTAGAAAAATGCAGTTCAACTTCTATTGCTCGCAAAGGAGCTTGCCCGAAAACACCACGCCAAGTCTTGAAGAGATGCTGCATTGCAGGGTAAGTCGTCGGGTCGACTTGCCTGTAGCACTTGCAAAAGACCTGCCGTCCACCCAGGACTGTCAAAAAAGAGCGTCGACTAAACAAAATCCTTTGCATACCTCCGCTAGGCGCTCGCCAAAGTACTGCACGTAGTCACGTCCGATGTTCTTCACAATGCTATCCAGGAGATACAACGCAGGCAGCTTTTGCTCCTTGGCCACCTACAACCAAACAGAAGAAAGAAAACCAAAACTTTAGAAACCAAACGGACCAAAGAAAAGGAAAGAAAAGAAAAAGGAAAGAGAGGAATCCACATACCTCCATGATGTGAGAACAGATCGCGTTGGCTATGCCTCGAGCAGCATGTAAGTTTTCCCCAGCAATGATGGTCAAGTTAGTAATAATCGGCTTGGAATTGAAAGTGAGCTCGCCAAGAGCTGCCTTATACTGGGTAACAAGTTCATGGTCTTGCTCGTTCTCGAGCCTCCCTCTCTCTCTCTCCCTCTCCTCTCGATTCTCTCTCTCCCTATCCAGAGCCTTGAGGCGCTCGAACACATTGACGCGGGAAGGAGGAGCAAGAGGAGCGGCGGCGGCGGCCTTACTCTCACTCCCTCGCCTCTCCATAGGACTCACCCTCCGCCCACCACCGCCGCCTATCTTTGCCCTATCGGCTGCATCAAGCAAGACACCACTCTCCCTCTTAAGCATGGCCGGAGCTCCGATTCTCGCGAAATCGGGGAAAGAAAAGGCACCACACAGGAGGAGGCCGCGGATTTTGTTACCTCATTGGAATCGCAGCAGCGCCGCGGCCGACCTAGCACAGCGCGGGCGCCGTCGCGGTCGATCGATCCCCGAGCAACGCCGCCCACGCCGATAAGCCGATCTTTTGCTTTCGCCCAAACCCTAGAATAAGGAACGCATGACCGCCCCCTTGGACGATTTCCGTCCCACAAACGAGGCACACCTTTAGAAACGAATATTCTCCTTAAACCCCCTTTTTATAATTTTTTGTGGCCCAAACTGCTTGCCCTAGAAACCATTTTATCCAAGTTAGGGCTCTGGCCGTCGTCGCGGAGAAAGGTATGGGTGTCTCTCTCTCTCTCCCCCGATCTGTCTGTGGCGTGGGATTTTCTGGCTGGATTGCTTTTTTCTCTGTGATTCTGGCCTGGAGAGGGGGATTTTGGGAAGAATCGCTAGCTAGAGCTATGAGAATGTTGAGAACCAGATTGCTGACCAGGGAATTGAGCAGGGTATCAGCACGGTACCGGTTTCCTCTGGAGCAGCGAGGGAGAAGAAGAGTATGTGAGAAAAATCTGGCAGCGCAGGCACAGGTTTGAGGAATAGGTCGAGAGAAAGTGAGAAAGGAGGGAGAAACAAACAGGGAAGGGAAGATGAGCACCCCGCCGTTTCCCAACGATGGCTCTTTTCTTGAGAGGTTTAAGCAAATGCAAGGGGCTGCCGCTGTGGCCGCTACTACTAGCGCTGTGAGTGAGCCGCCGAGCACGAGCACTAGCAGCACCAGTTCTAGCACGGGAGTTCAGCCCGTGAGCATCACGATCAAGAAGAATTGCTCCATAGGTTCCAAGGCAGCTCCCGTAACGCCAGCGTCAAACGGGAAGTTAGCGTTCAGTTTGAAGGCCAAGGTAGTTAGGCCTGCGGTGAATCCATTGAAGCTGGGTGACAACGATGATGATGAGGAGGAGAGTGCTGCTGCCGCTAGTACTGCTCCTGCGGCTGCCAAGGTGGTGATGGAGAGACCCGCGAAGAAGCAGAGATTTGATGTTGTTGACGCTCCCTCGCACTCAGGTAATTCAGTTCAGTTTCGTTAAGTGGTTTGATTGAAACCTGTGTCATGCTTGCAGCTCTGCCGGCCCCTCCTCTTGATCCTGATGTGAGAAAGGTAGCGGAGAAGCTTGCCAGTTTTGTCGCAAAAAGTGGTCGGGAATTTGAAGATATCACACGGCAGAAGAACCCTACGGATCCTCGTTTTGGGTAGGCCATTGAGAGGGAATTGTGGTGTTTTTGGAATGCTTGCTTCTTTCGCTTGTTTTCTATTTTGTTATGGTGGTGCATGAATAGCGTTTATCTCTTTTCTTTGGCAGGTTTCTGTTCGATGTTGATTGCTCGGACTACAAGTATTACGAGCACAAGCTTGCTGAGGAGGAATCCTTCCTCAATAAGCCCCATACTCCGATCGTGTTGCAACATGGTAAAATGTTACTCACATCTGGTGCTAGCTGGTTTATGTTGGGATAAGTTTTTCAGCCACACCATCTCGGCAACAATCGTTTCCACAGAGAAGCTCACAACGTACAAACTTTCAAACCCCTGCCTCGGCTCTATACGAGAACGGGGAAGAAGCACGCCATGAGCAAGAGCAAGACACAGGTATGCAAAGTGTTTAAATATTCCGGGTTCTGACTCTACTGTTTCAGCCAAACAATCAACAGAGCCAGACTCTTTGGCTATGATGGACTTTTATATGAAAAAGGCAGCCCAGGAGGACCTCCGAAAGGCTCCTAAGCAAACCAAAGATGAAATGCCTCCACCATTGTCACTGACGAGTACACGTAAGGATAAGGTCTTGAGATTCGTGCTGACAGTCACTATGCAGCCTCCACAAAGAGGGGTCACCATATGGGAGACTACATTCCTCAGGAAGAGCTGGAAAGATTTATGGCGAAATGTAACGACGTCAGTGCTCAGAAAAACATACTAGAAGCAACCGAGAAAGCCAGGATTCAAGCAGACAATGTAGGCCATCGTCTACTGTCCAAGATGGGATGGAAAGAAGGTAATGCATTCGAAAAAATTTCTCCTTGTTTGTAATAGCTGCTTTATATGCTTCAGGTGAGGGACTTGGAAGTGCTAGAGGTGGCCGTGCCGATCCGGTGCAAGCGGGACAAGTGAAGCTAAACAATCTGGGATTGGGAGCCCAGCAACCTGGCGAAGTAAACTCTGAGGACGACATCTACGAGCAGTACAAGAAACGTATGATGCTGGGTTACAGGTTCCGTCCGAATCCACTGGTAAGCTTTCTCTATTTGTTTTCGTGGAATCTCGAGACACAAACCCGGTCGTGTTCATTCAGAACAATCCCAGGAAAGCATACTACTGATGAACCCCCGAAAAAAACAGAAAAAAAAAAGTCGTTGTTTCTATACACGATCTAAGATTCCTCCGCTCTGTAAGTGTATCAATCACGTATTGTACATCTTTGCTGCTGCCATGACGCTCGGCTGGAAGGAATAAATCACAGGGAAGCTTGCTTGTGGAGGACAACTTGGAGATCTAAAACAAAGAACGAATAAAAAAGTTCCATGACATCGTGTTCTAGTACTTGCTGGGCTCAACCGGGCAGTCTCCAGGTAGCGGATACTGGCAGTAACTCTCGTTCTTCATGCACAGGAAGAGGCGCTCGTACGCAGCTCCCATCTTGGTGGCCGTGAACATAAGCGAAGCATAATCGCGGCAGAGCTCTCCTTTACGTCGCATGGTGTCGCGGCCCTGCGCGATCACGGCCTCCATAGCCTGCTCCAGCGAGTCGACGTTGGGCGAGAAAGTATGGCCAAAGTCGCTACTCACCACCACACTCCAAGTGATGCTCGAGAAGTGCGTCGCGAGTAGCGGCTTACCGCACTGCATGGCCTCGAGGAGAGTGTGATCCAGCCCCTGCGAGCGCAGCGTCGGATTGACGAAGACGTCGAGCGCGTTGTAGAAGTCGGCGAGGTGGGCGGGATCCATGGGGCCGAGCGTCTTGGCATTTGGCGCGAGCTCGCGGTAGCGGTCGCCCCAGGGGCCGTGGCCCGCGACGAGCAAGAACACCCCGGGGTGACGCGCGGCTATCCGCGAGAAGGCCTCGAAGAGCAGCGGGTGGCCCTTGTCGCGGACCAGGCGACCGGCGGCGCCGAAGACGAGACTGGCGTTGACCGGCACGCCGTACTTGCGGCGGAATGCCGAGCCTGCGTCCAGGCTCGGGCGGAACCGCGACTCATCCACGCCGTTGAGGATGGTGTGGACATTCCGGAGCGGAATCTCGTAGATGGTCTGGAGGACGTCGCCCACGTAGTCGCTGGTGGCGACGTGGTGGCGGTAGCTGGGGAAGAACTTGATCTCGTCCGCCACGCGCGTCAGGCGCTCGCCAAGCGATCGCTGGAGGTCAGCGCTCCGCGGCTCGCCGGGCTTGCGTACCAGATCCTGGACAAGGTCCGAGTGGATGATCTCGTAGCCGATGCCGTGCCAGGAGGCGGCGAGGTTGGATCCCAGGAGCTGGGCCTTCCAGTGCGGCAGCGCGACGCTCTCCGAGTGGACGATGTCGAATCCGCCCGGATGAGTGGAGTTGTCGGCGAGGAATTGGTCCCAGGCGCGGTGATAGTCGAATCCACCGCCGGCGTTGGGGCGGGAGAAGTGGACATGCAAGAGCCCCCGTTCTCCGTGATCCTGTTGATCGTCCAGGAGCTCTTCCGGATTGTCGGAGCCAGCAGCGGCGGAGGTGTAGACGTGGATCTCGTGGCCCCTGGCGGCGAGATTGCGGTGGAGCGTGAGAGCGTGGCGCTCCAGGCCACCCGGGACGCCCCCGACTGGCCACTTCTTGACGAAGAGCGCGATCCGGAGGCGTTCCTGGATGGGGCCGAAGCACAGCCGGTTCCACGCCGCCTCCATCTGCCGCAAATCCCCGCGCCACTCCCACAGCGATTCGTGATCGCCATGGCCGCCGCTGCTCCTCGCCGCCGCGAGCTCGCGATTGCTGCTGGAGCGATCCCTCGCGCAGGAGGTGGAGGAGGAAGAGGAAGGGCCATTGAACAATGCGAGAGAGTAGACGATCATCGACGCCGCCACCGCCAACGCCCAGATGCATTGCCACGTGTATGGCAGCCCACGGCGGCTGCCGCACACCGCCATAGCTTCCTTCTTCTTGGAGCTCGCCGTGGTCATTCCTCGTCCATGGGCGAGAGCAGGAGAGAGAAGCGCTGGTAAGCCCAGATTTGAAGTGGCCTCAAACAGAATATCCGCGGCATCTCTCCTGCCGTTATGTCGGAAGAACCGGGATCGTGCAACATGGGCGGAATCTCGTCAATTTCCCAGCAATCCTCCGCGAAAATGGAGACAAAATTCTTGTTTCATGGTCGGAATTGACAAGCTCCACGAAATTTAACACGCAATCGTACCGCCAACCCGTGAGTTTGATCATGATCAGACAAACAAATCAAAGAATGAAACGCTTGGAGCAGCCAAGAAAGATCTGCCAGACAAAGAAAATCTTAGAATTCGATCGATTCCTCCCTCATTCCATGGCCCATTTGAGCACTTTGGCACAATCCTCGCAGAGGTTCACGGGCGATCGTTGACAATCGGGTACAATGCGGGGCTGCGACAGGGCAAAGCCATCAGTGATCCATCAATTCCCACTCCTCTTCTCCACTCACCTCAGCTCCGCGCGGGCGGCGCCGCTAGCCCGCGCCGCCAGGAACTCGAGCGCCCAGCACACCACCCCCATCGGCGGCCGCTCCTCGGGCGTGGAATGCCAGCACTGCTTCATCACTCTCGCCAGCGCCGGATCCATCCATCGCGGCACCTTTGGCCGCTTCCCGGGCAAAATCCACCCCCACCCGCACACTTTGCGGTAGAAATCCCGTGAGCTCAGCCTAGCGTAGCGCTCCAGCGGCGTTCTTCCCGTGCCAATCGCATAGCATGTCATAGCGAAGCTGTACACGTCAGCCCTGTCCGTGTACGGGCACGTTGGGCCATCCTGTACGACCTCGGGCGCCCAGTAGCATTTGGTCCCCCTCTTGGCGGTGTGGACGTATGATCCCTCGCGGATGAATCGCGAGGTCCCAAAATCTGCAAGCTTGATCATCGTCCCGCCGCTCACGAATCCCTCCTGGGCTGGGTCCTTCGATCGATAGAGCACATTTCCGGGCTTGACATCGCGGTGCATGATCCTCTGCGAGTGGATGAACAGTAGCGCACGCGCGAGCTGGAGCATGATCTCCAGCGCGTCCGCGGCCGCGAATTCGGCGAGGGTATCGATTGATCGGCCCCTGGGATCGATGCTACCGTCGCAGAGCTCCATGAGGATGGAGAATTTGTCGCTCTGGGCGTCGCTGGCTCGGGGGATCTCGGCGTAGGCGAGCGGAGGGAGAATGTGCGGGTGACCGGAGAGCTTGGATTGGATGGCCAGCTCGCGCAGCGCCTCGGATTTGCTGGAGAAGCTCTTCATGGCGTAGGATTTATCATTCCACTCCACTCTGTGCACCACTGCGTAGCTCCCCTTTCCAATGATCCTCCCCATGTCCGTCTCGCGGATCTCCGCCCTGGGCGTGCGCTCCAGGAGCTCCTCCTCGCTCAGCGCGGTCTCGTCCGGATCGGGGAATCTCACGCTCTCCATTCTCCGCCAGAGATCGATCAGCTCGCCCCTATCCTGCTCGCTCGCTTTCGGGAAGAACTTACGCATCCATTTGTTGACGCTGCGGTTGGACTCCATCGCCATTGCTGCGTAGCTCGCGGAAAGAAGAATTTTTACTTACGAAAGTCTCGTCAACCCTTTGAAAAGTCCGGAACGCGGCCAAAAAACGTTCTTGTTGTTCTTGCTTCCACGCAGGTGAATCAAAAGAGGCTTCCTCTTCCAACGAGGATGTCGCCATAAGCTTCCTTTTGTAGCACACTGAGATAGCTATTTGAAGCTAAGACTGCACGAACGAAACATAACATAGCTCATTGGTAAGAAAAAAAAAAAACACTATCGAGACTCACCGCAGATGTGGAAGAACATCTTTGCTCCCTGAGAGGCGTTCATGCCTTCCGTAAGGCTATCGAGGGACAACGCCTTGATCCCCGGAGAGCTGATGAAGTGCTCCCGCAAGTACCTGAAATGTTTCTCATGGTATCATCATGATCGAAAAAACTCGGAGCAGCTTACTGGAGCATGATGCTTGTGAGCTTGTCTAAGTCGCGTTGATAGGCCTGTGCGGCTTGAGTCGGCTCTGTTTCTGGCGGAGACACGCGAGAGTTCTAAGCAGTTGAAATGTTTTCTTTCAAGCTTACCAAACTGGCTTGGTAGAACTGTGATGTCTGGAGTTCTTTCTTCCGGGAAAACGTCGTTGGTATAAAAATCAGTACCAAAAGGCGAGTCACTCTTGCGTTCCGACGCTCGCGACCTCTTGGACCTTGAAAAACATTCAGAAAACTCTTTAGTTAGTGCAATACGAGGCATGCAAGTTTTCAGACCTCAAGCTGGTCGGATAATCCCCCACAACGTCGGGAACGAGCTTGTCGGTGGATTGAGAGCTCCTTTTTCGTTTAGAATTCATGACGCTGTTCACTGGAAAAACACACACAAAAGAAATGTTAGTTGTTGCGCCAAGGAGTTTTTTATAAGCGGGGAACCTGAAATATTTGGAGTCACTCCGGTTTGGACATCAAAGAAGCTGCCTCCTTCGCTTCCTGTAACAGGAGTTTGAACGGGTGCTCGTAGTTTCTCGACGGAGCCGTAATTGTCAAAGTTAAAAGGTGCCTCAAAACGCTCGGGCTCTTCGAACGCGAATTCCAACGGCGGAGGAGGCTGCGAGCAAAACATCAGTGAAACAGCTTCTAAGTGCTACTGTAGTGCTACCGATTGATCAGCAGATACTTGCTGGTCCTGCTGTTTGGCAGATGTTTGCTGTTCTTGTTGTTTCTGCTGCTCAGAAGTAGTCTTTTGTTGCCTTGGAGTCACCACGGTCGCTTTGGACCACAGATCAACGATTGAGGCTGGTAAAAGTGACTTCGGTATGGTACCGCAGCCTAAGAAAGTTAAGGGATTGTTCAGCATCACTTTTGCTCTTTCAGCCGATGCTTGTGTATACAGCTGTTTGATCGCAATGTCAGTGAAGGCAAAACGCTGTTCACATACCTTTCGTCTATTTCTTCTGTAGATGATATTTGAAGTGTCCTGCAGCCAGGACTGGAAAACTTGAGCTGGAATCTCAGTCAACTCGACGTCGTAGACGAGTTTCTTCTGCTGCTTGATCGTCTTTCTTTTCTTTCGCGGCTTATGAGGCTCCGGCTACAAAAGTAATGCATAACAAAAGAAATGAGTAGTAGAGGCAGATGCTTACCGATTTTGGTCCTTTGTCTTCACCGTTTTCGTTGTCGCCATCCCGTTCTTCAGATATCGGTTCAAGTCCATTTGGAACTTGAACACCATTTAGTCGTTATGTAAGCTTTGCATTTTTCAACCAGCTCTACCTTGAAGCGGGGCATCCATAGTGATCATGTCGTCAATAAAGTTCTCAGGCTGCTGGAACCTGTACTCACTTTCTTCCCTGAAACACAGAAAAACGTAGCGCGCTTTAGACACTCTCCATGTTTGCCTACCTCTCGACATCGTCATCTAAAACAGTGGCGAAGGAGCGAACACTATCCTCATTCAGCGTGATGTCTTCGTTGTCAGCTGTTCTTACAAACCTCCTTCACCTCATTAGATCTCGTGTTGATGACACGTACCTTGAAATCGGTTGGGTCTGGTTCTCGCCACCAGAGGAGGAACCGTGAAAAACTCGGGATCGTCCTGGTCCGGTGTTTCCGGCTCCAGCATCGCGCGCTCGAAATCCTGGAAGGTTTCTTCGGTGCCATCAATCGTGATCGCTTCGAACCTGGAGTCACAGATCGCGTGGAGCCAGCTTAAGATAAACAACATCTTACGTACTTAGCGCGAGCTCTCCTTTGAGGAAGCCTGGTAGTGTCCTCGGTCTTCAGCGCAGCTTGTTTGGTTTTCATCTTAAACTGGAGCCAACGAACAGTGATGATCGAGAGAGGAAGAACAAAACCAAGAAAACTTCCTCACCATGAACTCCGTGACATCGTCTTGATCAAGGAAAGAATGTGAACGAAAGCAGAGAAAATAAACCATGGCCTTACCATACAAGAATTTGACTTTGTGGTTGTAGATCCTCACGATGCCTCCTACAAGAAAGATCGATCTTAGAAGACGCAATTCCTACATGCATCGCGAGATCCCTTACCCATGAGGATTCCCGACAGCCGTAGAGCCAGAGGAACGACGGGATTGATGATCTGCATGCTGTGGAGAGAGATCGGCACATTTCAATCGATCCGATCGAAATTCCCAACCAAGAATCCAACAAACCAGCTCTCTTCGATGTCGATCTGATCGGTCCTCTTCCTGTTCATCTTTGGATGCACCGTCGCCGCGATCCTGCAAATAAACGCGAGAAGAAGAGATCGATGAGACGCTTGCGCCGATCCGCGCGCATTCTCACCATATCTGCCCGAAGGGACCTTTCTTGGAGAGCAATTGGTGGGAGTAGAACATCGTGGAGTCGAGAATGTAGGCCGCGCAAACCTCTAGTAGGGTTTTACCGCCATTCTTGAGGGCTTATTTGGCGAGCGGCCAAAATATTTTGCCCGGAGGCCCGCTTGGCACTGGATCATCGCTCGCCGTGCTTCCAGGTTTGCCGATCTTCACCGCATTCCTGGCCGATCGAGGTAAGCGAAGCATTCTCTTTGTGGGGCATTTTGCTTGGTATTTCTTGTTCGTTTTTCCTGGGGCCAGGCGTCCATGTTGCTAGAAAAGCGTTCTATGCTTGTCTGTCGTGCTCACAATGGTTTTACGTACAAGATTTTCCAGGGAGCCCATGAATCCTCGCAAGAGCTTTGATTCCATCAAAGACTTAATGAGGTACTAAGCTATCAAAGGATTCTTGACTCACACTCAGAATAAATGTTTTCAGAGCTAGCAGGATCCATTTACTTAAGAGTTCCATCTTCTCCGCGGAGTGCGCAGTAGTCGATCATCATGCTGACGGTATTGTTTCTCGGACTAGTTATGCTATTCTCTCGATATCCGATCGAGGTAAGTGAAGCATGCTTGATCGCTTGACAGGTATTTTTTGTTCGTTTCTTCGGGCTGTCGAGAAAAGAGTTCTATGCTTGCTTGCCGTGCTCAGGTTTTTTCTTGTTTTTCAACGTTTCTTCAGTGGTTAACTCTAACGAGGAGCGTGGAGTCCTTCCATCAAGACTTACGAGGTAGTGAGCTATGAAAAAATTCTTGACTCACACTCAGAACAAATGTTTTGCTAGCTAACAGAAGTACGCATGCATCCATCTACTTCAGAGATCCATCTTCTCCGCGGGGACTGCGCACTAGTCGATCACCATGCTGGCGGTATTGTTTCGCCTCGGTCTAGTTATGCTATCGTATCCGATCGAAGGTACTGAGCTATGAAAAACTTCTCTCAGAAAAAATGTTTTGCTGGCTATCAGGAGTACGCATGCATTCAGATATCCATCTTCTCCGCCGGGACTGCGCACGGATCATCATGCTGACGGTATTGTTTCACCTCGGCCTACTCAGGTTTGTTTTTCTTGTGTGGAGTAATGCCTTGACAATATCGTTTGAGTCACGCAGGAGGGCCAGGTGCAGCGAGATAGTCATGCTGCAGCCTGCCAAAGTTTCTGATCATCCGTTGCCTCAATCCTGGTGCGTTATGGCTTTTTCTTTCACGCGCAAGCTCACGCCATCGTTACATCCTTTTCCAGACACGGCTTTTCGAATTCTCTGTGACAATTGATTGAGAAGATGACGGAAAGTGGAGGAGAAAAAAATCAACAAGCATTTACGATTTCTCCTGGACAGAAAGACCTCCTCCCTCCTGATCTCTAGAGAACGAGTCTAGATCTACAAAGACTCAAAGTCTTTCATCGGTATGCTCTCCATTCTATATTCAAGTCAATTCGCTCGCTCACAAAAGTCTCAGCGCCACCACAGTGGACACGACGATCAACCTCCACCAAGTTGCGAGACTATCGCCACCCTACAGCAAACCATTTTCTGGTCAGTTCTCTCGGATCGAGAAAGAAAAAAAAAAGCTTAAGCTCTTACCGAGGTGTTGTCTTGCTCTGACCCTTCTATAGGGACCGCTGCCGAGGCTCCGGAGCTACCACTGGGCGCCATGGAGGAGCTGGGTGAGTCGCTCGTCGCTGGAGCTATCGCTGGGACCAGTCCCATCCCTGGAGAAGCCGCAGGGCTTGTTGGTCCTCCTCCTGGCGATGGCGATGACGATGGTGACGATGGAGGAAGCCCTGGGGCCAGGACTAATCCGGCCGGAGTTGGAGATAGTGCCAGGGGAGGAGCAGCAGCCAAGACGCCAACACTGATGGTAACTTTCTGTCCGCCATCGCAGTGCGTTCCCTGGCCCTCCACTGAGAATCCACACGCAAAGTAGTACGCGCCAGCCTTCTCGGGAGCTATCCACTTTGGAAAAGCAAAAAGAAAAGGAAAAAAGCGAGAGCTTTGGCCACTTTAGTCACGAGAAAGCGGTCCGGAAGCGTACTACAGACCGTGAAGTTGCCAGACGATCCAGTGTCGAGCATGGTTGCCTTCGCAAAGTTGCAATTGTCGAAGTCGGCCTTGGACGGAAGCATTGCCACATTGTGAAAGCCTGGAGCGTATCGAAACACTGCACGATTCATACGGGATTGTTTGTTAGCAGCCATAGCGCAAGGACTAGAGAAACGAGAAAACCAAGGCGCTACCTACACTCACAGGGAAGCCTGGAGAAAACTAAGAGAAGAGAAGACCAAAAACAGGATGATCCACTCACCGACGGAATCTCCCGATGCGACTGGCTGAGAGGCGGCCCAGGCAGCATAATCTGGAACCCTCTGCGTGGAGAGATCGAAATTTGTCCAGCCGAGCGAGTCTCCCACGGTGATGACAACACACATTGCCCTCCTGTGGAGGAACAAGACTAGCAGCAAGCAAAAACACACTGTTAAAGAGTTTGTGCTCCTCCCCATCTTGAGAGCCCCCCTCCCTCTCTTTGTTACTCTTGGAATCTTGGGCTCAACAAAACAGTAGGAGTGCTTCCTTATAAAGAGGACGCATCTAATAGCCGTTGCTCTGTCCTTGTTTCTTGCCTCATAAACTATGGTGTTCAGGTGTCCACAGAAAAGCTTGTCTAAAATTAATGGCGGCTCAAAAATTTCCATGAACTTTTTTCTCACTTTTTGTTTAAAGGCATTGGCACAAGATATTTGTTGTTTCTGAAAAAAACTTTGACGTATATACCTTTAAAGTTACTAGCGAATGCAGTGCCAACTTTTGGACGTTTAGATTGGGCAGAACGTCCCGATTAAAAACATCTTGTACAGAGCTAAATAACCGCGTGATTCAATGGTACAACGTTGTCCAAGTATAAGCGTATCTCGCCTCAAGTCCTTTCAAAGATTGTATTTTGCTCCAGTATGGAGGTATCAGGACAAACTTGTGTCTTCAATTCTGACCTCGGTAGCAACTCGACACCTAAAGAGAACAACACACAAGACCTTCAAATGAACGGAAACTCTTACCAATCGTAAGCACCTAATGGACTCCTTTGCGTGGCCTTATCCTTGACATTTTCGATGGCACACAAATGAGCAAGATTCCACAGAGAAAAAAAAGTCCTCACTCCTAAAGAGCTCGTGAATGACAAGCGTAATTTGGGACCAGTGCTGCCTCCTTCACAAACGTAATGCCAAGAACATACCACCTCATCCGCTAACATAGCTTCGTGGTAGTTGTGATGAGATCGAACGCTTACTTTGCCAGGGAAGATGGCTAAGTGAGCAAGAGCGACGAGGAGTAAGCTTATGTCTCGGCGTTGACCCCTGTTTTAATGAAGCCCTAGCCATGGCTACTACTTCTGCTGCCTATCCGCCACCGCCTCCCTATTACAAGCTCTACAAGGATCCAGCCTCCGCGGCATCGCCGCCTCCGCCGCTCCAGGGAACTTACTCCGTGTTTGGGAACACGTACACGGTTAGACCCTGTTCTCTTTTTCTCTTCTCTTATAAGCTTGAGCTTTCAGACTGACGATACGCTACCCAGTTTGGAGGAAGTGGGGCTTCGTCAATTGTATCCCATAGGACCCAACATTGGTAAGTTGGACTCGACCAAGATTTTTTCCAGTGGATTGATCTTTCTCCTCAAACGTTGGGAGATTAGACTACAAGAAGGAGCTCAAGGCTTTGAACCGAGAGCTTGTGCTCCAGATGATGGAGCTCGCCGACGTTTTGGTGGAGAGGCCTTCTCAGTATGCTCGAAGAGTGGAAGACATGGGGCTCATTCTCAGAAACATGCATCACTTGCTCAATTCACTCAGACCACACCAGGTTTGACAAAAACTAAATCCTTTCTTTTTTGCTCATGCAAAGTATTGTTCTCCAGGCCAGAGCGACACTTATTCGCATTCTCGAGACCCAAGTGCAAAGACGAAAGCAAGCTGTGGAAGAAGTTCACAAGTATGCATTGGATTCGTTTTTGTATTCATATTTTCTCCCTGATTTGGTCAGGAGAAGGAACGAGGCAAGATCACTCCTCCAGGAATCAACAGCCGCACTAGAAACCCAACTTAGCCAGCAAAGAATTGTGTGACTTCGCTTTAGAAAAGGAATATACTAGTGATCTGTTTAAATTAACAGTTATAATCTAGCAATGCGAGCACTAGAATGTAAAATAGAATCAAGAGGGGAAAGAGTGAGTGCCACTATAATCACTCTGTTGAATTGATAATTGTAGTGGTGATTTGCAAATGCTTGTTAAACAACCTGCTAACTTTAGATCTCAAATATTTGCAAGCACATTAGGTTACAAAAGTAGTGTATGTAAGCTTTTTTTTTCTTTGAAAGTGTGTTTGAAAACTCTTAATATTTGGAATGGGAAGAGCTATAGCTTAAGCATGTGATTACTTTTCCATCTTAGTCTTGTCAATTCTCTTTTTCAGCATGATGTGTCATTGTAAACAATTTGGAAGTTGCAACCTTGAAAGTTCCTATTATTTACTTATGGAGCAAAAGCCAAAGAATTGTTTTTCTTTCTTCTAGAGAGAAAACATATTACTATGGTTAAAATAAAACCTAAAGGAAAGTATATCCAATATGGTGCACCAAAGTTTTCATATTGGAAGATGAAGCTAGTTTACATTTATCATTAGCACTTTTATTTAATCTTTGATCCCAATACTTTCATCTCATTAAATCAAGTAGTACCACAAAGTTAGTTTGGTTGATAAGAATGACGGGTGATGCCAATTAGTAACATTGTAAATAAATAATAGTTATCTTGAGACTTACTGTGGTTGAAATAAAACCTAAAGGAGAATATATCTAAGATCATCACCAGAGTATTCATAATGGAAGATGAAATTAATTTACATTTATCACTACCACTTTTGTTTAATTTTTGATCTCCCTAGCATATCAATTGGCACACAATCATTAGTGATCGCTATCACTCAAAAGTTTGTTCAGTCGATAAGAATGAGGGCCAATAAGCAACATTGTAAATAAAAATTAATTATTCTGACAAAAAAACTTTACAAAATAAACAAAGTGCTAAGAAAGTTCTAAAAATAAGATTAACTTTTAAAGGAACATCACTTATTTTAAAATTCTTACACTTCTTTTTAATTAAATAAATACACACACATTACATATTTTGCCAACATCAACCAATAAAGTCAGTTAGTTCCCTAACTTAATCATAATGTATTCAGTTGTAACTAAATTTAAAAAAATATGATAAAGAAAATAAGCTAGCAATGCAAAGAATAGTTGTTATTTATGTTTAAACTTATATTAATGGTATCTATATAATTTAAAAACTTTTAGTTTACTAAAAGTTGATTTTTATATTTTGTGATAATTGATTTTCAATAGCACTCACCTTCAGCTTTATTTCTATGTCATCCATCCGATAAAATGCCACTTTCTGCCCTACAATCCACTGAGTATGATTGTCATGGAAGTATGTGGCTATAATATCTATTAAATTTAAAATAGAAAAGGAAAAAAATTCATTTTTAAAAGCAATTCCTATTTTGTCATTTACTTTTGATAGTATTTTTTCTATCAAGATTTGAAAAACATATTATGACACACTTGCATTTCATCCCATCTTTGCTAATGAAGGAATTCAAGTAATGGCAGCAACACAATGAGAAGGGAGGTTTTTCAAGGTAGCACAACTTGGTTTTTAATGCTCACAACTTACAACAAGATTTTGTTTTTAGCGGAGGCTTTTGATATCTTTGGACAGGGCATGTGCATTTCCACGGAGAAGGACGTGTTCCACCCCGAAAGGCTTGTTGCTCCTCCTTACATTGTATGTGGATCTATTTTCATAATATTAGTAGTGACTTTAAATGTTAAAAAATTTTACTTTCTAAATAAATGGTTTATATTATTTTATAAAATATTTTCATAAAGATAAACAATGAAGGGAATAAAAGTAACCATTAAATTTGAGTTTGAAATTAATTCTTTCATAAAAATGAAAATCTAAACTAATAACTGAGGATATACTAAAAATAAAAATATAGAATGCTATATTATAAATATGATGATATTTATTTTTGTTGCTTTAATACTCAATTTAGTATGTAAAGGCTAATATAATAGTTTCAAATATCATTTATGGATTTTAGACACAAAATTCAGTTTATTGTGAGATATTGCATAAATGCTAAAAATAAGTCATATTTATATATAAAGCTTCTTTATATAAGAAATATTCTACTAATATTATTTTTAAAAATCTTAAAAATTATAGAGATTAAATGTTTAAACTTTGTTAAAATTAAATAGTGCCTTTTTGAAATTTAAATTGTCCTATTGAGAAAGAACATAATTTCTAGAATAATTTACTATTTATATTTTTCTAAACTTGTTTATATAAAAAAAATGGATGAAACATTAAATTTAAGGTTAGAACATGAGACATTTTATTATAAAATAAAATACTTAGTTGCTAAAACATAACTAATGAATATTATCATTTAAGGTTTTGGATTGTAAAATTTTAAATTTAGATCTAAATTTATGCTTTTAAATTTTTTCTTATTTTGAGTTAACTTGTTAATGGCTTACAGATTAATTGAAATTATCATTAGTGATGATAAGATATTGATAAAATAATGATTTTAAGACAACTACTTTTTAGAAACACATACCTATTATAGCTAATTAAATTTTATTACATGCAAAAGGTATAGTTTCAAATTTATTTTTCACTCTAAATGTTAAATTGTTTTAGTGAAAACTTCACAAATTCATTTTAAGCTAATACATTATATAAAAATTCATATTTTTAATAAAACTTAATAAATAATATTTTTTGCTAAGTTTTGTTAAAGATTTTTTATTATTCCATATTTTAGATTGCATTGAGGAAGTCATGTGTCTAATAATTAAAATTTTTAATTTAATACCCATTGATAAATATAATTTAAAGTTTTTAAATTTAAATTATTCAATAAAAAATTCAGTATCACAAGGTGGTGAACCACTTTTATTATATAAAGAATATAATCTTCCTTATTATTGTTTTCCATAAAACATCAATAATGTTTTTCTAGATTCATAAATTTAATATTTCCATCATGCTTAGATAAAATATTTTTATGCCCTACTGAAGAATGTACATTTAAAATTTATAGTTGAAAATTGTAGCTCCCTTAATTAAATAATATATTATTAAAATATTTTCCAAGAATAGAATGATAGCTTAAATAAATTAAAAATCTTTATTGAAACTCTATTATAACATCAAATTTTATCTTTCACAAATTTATGATTTATTTAAAACCATATTTATTCTAGTAAAGACTTTTATTTCCTCATCATTAACTTATTAATTTTGGCTAGTTTGAACATTTGGAGATAAAGAATAGATTTAGTGCTAAAGACACTAATATATTTAACAAATCTTAATCTAGTGCAAAATAAAAGTCAATTTTACTTTTTCTACTCATTTTTAACTTTTTTCTTTTGTCCCTTATTTGGAAAGAAGTAAAATGTTAAGTAGTAAACATATTTATTAGGGTTTGATATAATTTCACAAGCACCAACTTCCCATATCTAGCACCTATATGCAAAATGGTGTCAAATGATGTTTAACACGATTTTGGCATACCAATGGCCTAATGCAAAGAGGAAAGTACTACACCGATTAAAGCAACGTGGAGCTTGGGTTTAGACCCAAGCCAAATGCAAAACAAAGAGTGACACAACCCAACATAAGCCAAACTAACTAGTTTAACTAGCTCAAGTGAGAACTATAAAAGGAACCAACTGTATTGATCTCTTACCATCATGACAATAAGGAAAGAGTGTTTATAAAAACTAGCCAACAAATATCTTTAGATACCTAAAGTCATATTCGCAACACTCTCCCCCCTTTTGGAAAGATTGATATCCTCGTTGATGTATACCTGAGTATAGCAAATCGTCAAAGAAATAACTCTAAAAGTTAACGAAAAGCACATTATATAGGAAACACACTGACTTAAATAAGTTATGGAACGATATCTCCTATATGTCCAAAGACATTAAAACTCAGACACCCTCCAGCCATTGCCAACAAGGAAATGATTAGCGGAGTTAGCCACCCTTGCTGCTCTGAGTACCACTCAGCTTACAAAAGAATGATATATCCCTGCCCACAGCAACATAGTTTGAGAGCTAGAGGCCTAACTTCCCCTGAGCAAGAAATCAACCCCGTCAGGAAGATTTAGACAACTATTATAAGTTGGCAGAGGAAGTTGTTTACACAACTATACCCTTTTTCAACAATGAGTCAATGAGAGAAAGGTAAGGACTTGTGATCAGTCTATAATAGTTATCCCCATGGTTATGGATTGGACCCATGCACCGAAGTGCCGAAGTCAACCTGCCAAAACTGACCCAAATACTAATAAATAAGAGAAATGAAACTTTGATTTATAGAAATATATTACTTTATTAATTTGCAAGATTTATTACAAGATTTACAAAAGTTAGTTTTTATTACAATCTTCATATTCCGTGACAAGCTCATGAGCATGTGTAAAATTCCTAAGAGGTTTCCAAGTTAATTCACAAGTCAGATAACCTTTTCACTTAACTAGATATTCCTTGGAACGACCACCATGAGCCTTATAAAACAAGAGAATCGCCTCGACCTCATACTCAAGATCAACATTTACAACTTCCAGAGGGGGACAAATGTCTATAGAGCAATCCATAACAACACAATATGGGGCTAGTAAACAAACATGAAACATATCATGTACACGGGATAACTCATCGAGAGGATCCAACTTATAAGATACATCACCAACTTGCTTCAATACCCAATAGGGCCCAACATATTTTAATAATAGTTTCCAAGATAAAGATTTTTTTATATTCAAGTTTCAAGAAGATAGCCACACATGATCTTCCACTTGATAAGATACATCCCAATGTTACAGATCCTTATTATGTCAATATCTATCCTAAACTTTACCTATTGCCTCAGTAGCTTTAGACCACCCTTCACGTAACTACTCTGCATAAGTCTCAATAGCCAAGACCAACACTTTAGATATTGGTTTTGGTATACCAATTTGTTAAAGAACCCCACGAGCATTCCCTTGCAGCATTTCCAATGGAGAATAGCCAATAGTGTTATGA